GCCCCCGGGGGCAAGGTTGCTGCTGTCCAGCGCCGTGGGGCCGGTGCTGCTGGAGCCGGGCGCGCGGCGCCTGATGGCAGCTGTAAGGGATGCCGTGCGTCCATTACAGCTGCCATCAGGCGCCCCACATGGGTTGGCACCCTGGGCAGCTGCCCGGCTCACCCATGCCTCCGTCCGGCCCTGCTTGGCACTAATCCCTGGGACCCAAACATGCTGAGTACTACAGAGCTCTAAGGACGGAGATAGGCCTGGTCTACAATGAAGAGAGGGATCTGAATTTCTCAATGCGGTTGCGGTTGTGTCTGTGTCCAGGGTTGTGGTTTAGCTCCCATCCCTAATATAAGATGAGGTAAGAAAATAAGAGTATTTGTGGAGGTGGAGAAAAATCCAACTCCCTCTCCATGGTCTTGCCTGGACAGAGGGCTTTTGCAGAAGTGTAATTGTGCTGACACTTCACAGGTTCCCTGGTTTGTAACTGGGTGGGGCTGCAGTGACACATAACACTTTTACACTGCCAAACCCATAATAGGGGTGTGAGCTGTGCATTTAGTATGGATGCAAAAATCTCCACTATAGACAAGCCCAAGATAACACCCAAGGGAGGAGAGAGGAGCGGCCATTAAGACAGGCACAGCCTGAAGTCATCAAGGCTGTGTCTGCACTGGGCCACTTATTCCGGAAAATCAGCCGCTTTTCCGGAATAAGCTGCGAGCTGTCTACACTGGCCCTTGAATTTCCGGAAAAGCAACAACGCTCTACTGTACAAAATCAGCCACTATTCCGGAAAAACTATTCTGCTCCCACTCGGGCATAAGTCCTTATTCCAGAACACTGTTCCGGAAAAGGGCCAGTGTAGACAGCCCAGTAGTCTTTTCCGGAAAAAAGCCCCGATCGCGAAAATGGCGATCGGGGCTCTTTTCCAGAAAAGCGCGTCTACATTGGCCACAGACGCTTTTCCAGAAAAAGGGCTTTTCCGGAAAAGCAGCCTGCCAATGTAGACGCTCCTTTTCCGGAAAAACTGAAAACAGAATAGTATTCCATTTTAAGCAGTTCCGGAAATTCATGCCAGTGTAGACACAGCCCAAGACTTTGGAGAGATTAAGGCCAGTTTGATGATAAAACCCCACTGTTATTTGAAACCCCAGAAGCATCTAGCAGAAAAACCATAGGGAATGAATTCAGGAACTGTAAACATACCCATTAACTGGAACTGCTCTAGCTTGTCTCTGAGGGGTCGCTGTCTTAGTCTGCATCTCCAAAACAAAGAGGAGTCCTGTGGCTCCTTAGGCTATTTCTACACTGCGGAGCTATTTCGGGATACCGGAAGTGTCCTGAAATAGCTATCCTATGTCTGCTGAAGCAGCCCGTTATTTTGAAATAGATTTCGAAATAATGGGCAGCTTATTCCGATGTCCCAGTAACCCTCATTCCACGAGGGTTAAGGGGCATTCTGGAATAGCAAGCTATTTCGAAATTGGTGCTGAAATAAGCTAATTTAAAATTACCTCAAAATAAGCTCCGTAATTTGCGTGGCACAAATTGTATAGCTTATTTCGAGGTGAGGGTGCAGTGTAGACGCACTCTTAAAGACTAAGGATATGTCTACACTAGCCCCATAGTTTGAAGTAGGGAGGCTAATGAGGGCAACCGAAATTGCAAATGAAGCTTCATTAGCATGTTCCCAGGCGGTCGCCATTTTGGAAATTGACTAGCCCGGAATAATTGTCCGCGTCTACACACGGCAGTGAAACGGGAGTTCGAAGTAAAGCTCTTAATTCAAATTAGCTGTTAAACCTCATTCCAGGAGGAACCCCGTGCTTCATTTGCAAGTTTGGTAGCCCTCATTAGCCTCCCTACTTTGAACTAGGGGGCTAGTGTAGACATACCCTAACAGATTTATTGGGGCATAAGCTTTAGTAGGTAAAAACCACTTGCATGCTTGTATGAATCTGGCGATGTGGCTTTTACCCATGAAAGCTGATGCCCCAATAAATCGGTTAGTCTTTAAGGAACTACGGGACTCCTCGTTTTTTTTGCTATATATTGATTTATGATCCCTAAGCAACTTGTAATAGATGGGAGTCAATCGCCTGGGATGTTCCCTTTGGGCACAGACGTGGAGACTGTGTTTGTTTTAAGAGAAATCTGTAAATGGGATTGTCCATGAAATGTATTGAGAGGGACAATGGCGGGGGAAGGGACGGGGAGGGGTGTGAAGCCTGCAGGCTTAGAGATGAGTATGTGGCTCATTCTTTGCCTCCACTTTGGAATGGGCGAGGGGAGGCAGAGCCCCGGGCTGGTGGGTGATGCTCCCCTGCTATTCCAGAGAATTATTAAAACGAAAGTCGCCGAGGCAGCAATAAAACGTGAGTCTGTTCCAGCTGCTTCATGGAGAGCTCATTTATTCCTGAGCCAAACTCCCCATTCACCTTAACCCTTAGTGCACCAAAGGCAAATAAACTTGTCTTCCATTCCTTCCCCCGCTTAAGGCCTCACCTCTCTCTTCCAGACAAAGGGGGCCACATGATGCTCATTTGCCTCCTGCTCTTTGTCTCCCCTCCCCCTGATCCACTGCCTCCTGCTGCCTCCCCATTTTCATATTGACGCTGGCTCTGGGATCATTCACCTTGGGCACGTGGCCTCTGCTCTCACCTGCTGTACAAAGCTGGGCAGGAAACAGGTTTCCATCTCAGCCTGGCACGAAAAGAGGACAGCACAATATTTTTCACCCATTGGAAAGAATAATTTAAAAAATTCAGACTGGCCTCAATCCAAATGCTTTGTTTGGACTTTGACTGTTATTTTTGTTTGTTTTTGCTATAAATGAACTTAAATTTGAACCAAAAAGACATGCCAACTCAAAGCACTGAACTTTTTGACTTTGCAAATGTCAGAACATCCTCGTTAACTAATTAAAAAAAAATCAAAATTCCTTTGAGATGGGAAATTTGTTCAAACTGGCCCTTTCCCTCAACCGGTTTCAGTTTGCATATGTCAGCATTTGCCAATGAAAGAATGTTCCACGGAAAAAAATTCCCAACCAGCCCCGTTCCCTGGGCCCAGCTACAAGTTGGAGCCAGTCCTGATGGCTGAGGGGGAATCAAGCCTCCCTATAGAAAAGCACAGGCAGATGCGCCTAATTCTGAACACTTAAGCACCCGTTTGCCTGTAAGGAGACTACTCCCATTCTCCGAGCTGTGCTTGTGCTTACGTGCTGTGCTGAATTGGTGCTGTATGACAGCTGGAAGGGAGGCCTCAACTCAGACTGGCCATCACTGTGCTACGTGCAGGCTGGCCAAGAGAAATTTGGGGTCCTGGTACATCATGTTCACTGGGGCTCTACTGCCTCCCATTTTACCCCACTTACAGATTTTTTTTCGGGGGGAGACTGGGCTCAGAGCCCAGATACAGTTGTCCCCTTTCCCCTCCTGTCGTCAGTCCCTGCCCTAAGGAGTTGACATGGTGGGATGGCAGGTGGTGATTCATTTCTAGCAAGAGCCCTGGCCTGTTCCACCTTATAACTTCAGGAAACCTTCTCTGACTCCAAGCACAGGTCCCTTAGAATGAACCAAGCCCAGGGTGTTAACAGCTAGCTAATTTCTATTAGCAATCTAAGCTCCATTGAGTATTGAAAGGATTTATTTTGATTTGAAACTGGATGCATGTGAAGAATTCCTTTTAATTTGCTGACAGCTGGCTAATTTATTCTATTGGTTTTTTCTCTGTGTGTGTGGTTTTTTTTCTGTTCTATCAGCTGGCGCGAATCGCTGACAGCAAGGATCATGTCTTTCCCGTGAATGATGGCTTTGAAGCCCTGCAGGGGATCATAGATTCTGTGAGTATTAACCTTGGCTGTATGTGTGGAGACATGTATGCATGTGTGTGGAAGTCGGGGGAACCTGGCTACCATACTCTACGTGACAGGTCATTGCTATTGTAGTATTTTTTAAGCATTCTCTGCTTTAGTTGGAGGACAAATCTATTTTCACTAATATTGCCACATTAGAAATATCTGGCACTTTCTTATCAGATCTGTCAAAAATGTGGTGTGGAGGAGGAATCAAGAATTTTTTTCCTGCTTTGCCCCCTTCTGAACCTCCAAAAACAAAGAAATAGAAATTTCAAAAATCAAAACCTTTTGCCTGGCTCTGGTCTCCCCATCCTTTACAAGAATTACCCATTTCTGTGAGTAGGCTGGTATTCCCATTTTACACATGGGGAAACTGAGGCAGTGAGCGGCTGAAGTGACCTGTTCAAGGTCACACGGGGGCCAGTGAGTAGAGACTAGGATCCCAGTCTCTTGACATAACCACTGACACACTGGAAAGGTGCTCAGTTCTGCTTTTCCTCCTGCTGCTTATTGTGACCTGTGCTGGCAGCTATACTTCACTGCTCTGTTTTGGTGCTCTGTGCAGTTCCGCTCTGCACCATGATACTGCATAGAGGTTAGACTTGCGTCTAGACAGGACAAAGCACCTGAAATCATTGTCATTCTCCCACCTTCACTAAGGAAAGCAGAGCATGAAGGTGATGGGAAATAGGAGACAGACACTGCTCGCTTGCCTGAAGTCCTAAAAAGCCACCCAGGGTATGTCTACATTACAGTGTTATTTCAAAATATCTTATTTCGAAATAGTTAATTAGAAATAAGTTATTTCGAAATAACGCATCTACACACAAAATGCATTTAAAAATAGAGTTTTGCTATTTCGAAATAGCGCATCCACACTGAGTGGATGATGAATCGCATTTAAGGCTGGCCGGAACCAGGTCCGGCAGCGCATCAGGTCAGGAGTTACTTTGTGTGGTTGCTGCCTGAGGCTATGTGAGGCCTGTGCTTAAAGGAACCCCACCCCCCGGTCAGCCGGTTCTCAGCTTTCCCTGCTTGCTTGCCTACCTCGATGAGGGACAGCAAAGCATTTTGTCTCTGTTGCCCTCACGAGGCGTTCCACGAGGCATACAGATAGTTTGGATTAGAAGCCTAATCCGAACTATCTAGCCCGTGCCGCGTGTAGCTGCGCGGCACGGGGTTCGCACTAGCCGGCTTTTAAAAATGGCGGCACCGGCTTTATGCTAATGAAGCCCGGGAAATTCAAATCCCGGGCTTCATTAGCAAGTTCGGTATGCATACATTACCCCCCTAGTTCGAACTAGGGGGGTAGTGTAGACATACCCTAAGAAAGTTATTTAAAATAATGGCTGTTATTTCGAAATAACTTGGCAGTGTAGACATACCCTTAGGTTGTCTTCTCCCCGATGTAGACCTGGCCTTGAGCCGTGTCAGGTAAACTATTTCAGCTAAGCACTACACCTCTCGTGGAGGTGGATTATGAAGTTGGTCTAGTGGGAGAGTCACGTTGCGGGGAGCTACGTTTTGAGGTCGGCACTTACAGAGTGAGGTGTGCGTGAGCTGCCTTACATTAACCTAACTCTCCGATGCAGAGCAGGGCTCAGTCAGGGAACCTCAGTTACTACTGAAGTCAGAGGAGGTGAAGATGCTCAGCAGTGAGTAGGATTGGGCTTCTCACCCACTTTTTAGTCTCTCTCACATTAGGATGAACTAATTGCTTTCTCACTCCTAGTGTCATAGACTCATAGAATCCCAGGGCTGGAAGAGACCTCAGGAGTCATCAAATCCAGCCCCCTGCCCAAAGCGGGAACCCATCTCAGTGTCAGATGATCACTGATAAAGCTGCAACTGGAAAAGTCTGTGTAATGGGTAATTTGAGGTTTTTAAGGTGTAAGGAAATAAAGTGAGCTGGACAACAATTCAGTGGAACAAAGTATTTTATGGCTTTTTTTTGTTGCTGTGGTTTCCATGGGAATTTCTGTAGCTCATAACTTGTCAATTTAGAGCAAATGGAGCAAGACCTGGAGTGAAAACCTGAAGCTCAAATTCATCCGCTGCCCAGGACTTCTTTGTGTGGTATGAGGCGTGCTGCAGGCTGTGGAATATAGCACATCATGAAAGAGTTAGGATAAGGATCTCCCGTGTAGCTTGTAATAACCTAACCAGTGTAGTAACACTGCTATGACTTGGACACAGGAACGCGCCCAGGTCCTTGCGGTTTATTGCAGCTGAAAACTCAATTCAGAAATGGAAAGAATTGTATCTCAAAAACTTTTTCTGTACAAATTCTGCATGTGAGAAGAAGAAAACAATAAAAAAGAACTAGAGGCAGGATTATAGTGGATTTCATTTAATCTTTCATTTTAGAAGAGAATCCAATCATCTATATTTCGATTGATTGGTATTCTTGCATAATTTATTTCCCCTATTTAACTTAATATCCTGCTTGTTCATTATATTTCACCTTTATACCCACATACAATGTATTGGTCTCTAATCTCTCTTCATATCTCAACTCTTACATTTGTTCTGTCAATGTTGCCACAGAAAGTTTTAACATGGAAAATGAAACTCTCCAACTGCTGTATTTACATAGATAGCTGAGCTCCTATAGGAAAATGGACATTTCCGAAGAACAAATTTTATCCCAGAATCCACTGAGCTCAGTACATGTGCTTCTGAAGACCCAAATTGTTTGACCTTTGCCAATTCTAAGATGTGCCATTATCTTTTCTTGCGGTCATCATGTGCTTTTATGGCCAGCTCATCAAAAACGCCTCTAAAACCCCTACTTGCACGTTTGTTGTGTGTGCACCAGCTTGTACACGTCAGAGGAACATGCACACATGAGGAGAGTCAAAGACAGTTAACTAGTTAGCAATACACATGTTCCGAACACGTAAAATGTGGCTTGAAAATTTGGGCCAAGTGTGTATATTGTGCATTATGACAAGTTTAATGTTTATAATTGATTTTCAGCACAATGTGTGGTCAGATCTGACCCTTCTTCCCATAAATCATCTCTGAAGCATGTTGTTGTTGTTGGGCTGTTTTTTTTTATGTGCCAAATGCTAGTGATGCTGGAAAGGAAGTCTCGTATAAATAGAATTAAATTGCTGTTTTGTAATTGGCAACAGACTTTGTTTTGCAATGATTCACCAAAACTTGGTGATCAGTACCTAGACTCAGACTACAGGTCATTCACACTAACACATATACACAGTAGCCCTCTGCTAAACTTCCACATCCTGTTTTCTCACTAAAAAGTCCAAATTCAATAGAAAATGTCCTCTAGCTGCTGGGCCAGAGAAGAGATGGACTTAGGGTCTCCCAGAGTCTCCTGCAGATCTCCCTCCCAACTGAGCTGTTTGTTGGGCTTGATCCTAGTAGGAGGTGACCTATAGGATCAACCTGGTCTTTGGCCTCAGACCCATCACCTGGGAGGCTATGGATTAGTCACAGGTAGTGATATGCTGCCTCTGTTAAAGGGCCATTCTACCCTGTGATACGAGCAAGCCATGAAAACACTGAAGTATCAATCATCCATGAGAGCACATTACACTTAGTATTAATGTTTTCAAAGTCCATTAACTAAATAACTCCTGCAAGGTAGGGACACGCTTATTATCAGTGTTTTCTATAAGCTGTGTGCTCACGTGGCCACCCCACTGATTAACAGAGAACTGACAGGTAGGTTCTGTGTTTCAATGGGTGGTGCACATTTACACATGCCTTTGTGCACATACAATTATGCTGCACATGGATGGGAAAAAATCCACATATCGATGGAAAAGATTAGAGGGAACATTGCTTATGATTCCCCTAGAATACATGGGGAAACTGAGACTGTTGAGGTTCAGGAGGGCACTTAAGCACGGTCTTATCTCTAAGCACGTGTCTGCGCAGGTGTGGACTTAAGGGTGGGCTTCCCTGCTCCCCCACCCCCAAAGGCCACACAGCAAGTCATTATTAAATGAGCCAGGCCTGGAAATCCTGGGTGCACCAATCAAACATGGAGCTAGATTTGTCATGAGTAGGACTCAGCAGGTGGTCAGGAGAGATTTATAGGCCTCTGCCTAGCAACTGACTGAAGATCTAGTCTTAGGAATGGCGAGACAGCACCTGGGAGCCATCTGGCCAGCTGTCTATTACAACACCAACCCACCCCTCATCTTGAGTGTCCTTTCTCTGATTCTGCTTTCAGAGCCTCCTGTGGCTTGCCGATTGTGCTCTCGACTGTATAACTGCTGCTTCTCTCTCTTTCTGTCTTTGTTTCTCCCTTGCAGTTTCATCTGACTGGCCTGTTGCACCTCCAAAACTTCTCCTTTCCCCCCTGCACTCTCAGTCTGTCACCAACTCAGAAGTACCAGGTGCTCTTCGGTCCTTGGTAGCCCAGAAGACTTTGGTATCGCTGCATCTAAGTGACTAATAAGCCCTTCAAAAAAAACCCAGAAACTACCCCAAATAAACCCATAACTAAATCTGAACCTTTGGCAAGCAGGTATTTCTGATGCAGGGATTGTCTGTTTTCTTAAGGTAACATACTGCATTAGCTGTAGCTTGTTTCTTACAGATGTTTCAGTTTAAGGTTGGGAAAACAATCTTGCTGCTGGATTGAGCTGTGTTGCTTGGCCGGCATTGGCCTCTCGGAGTTGGCTAAAATGTGATGAGCTTATGTGCTGCCGCTCCGAGGTCCGGTTCCAGAATGCGGCTGAGCTGTCAGTTCCTCATTCAGGCCCCTATCCTGCAAAGATCACACATGTGCTTGTGGGACTCCATGCAGTGCACACTGTGAAGCTTGCATAGTTAGGCTTTGCAGCATCAGGGCTGTCATTGGCAAAGAACAGCTGGATCAGTTTGAACGGGGTATTTGAACAGTAACTTTCCCAACCTCGCTCATGGCTGAAGCTACACTTTGCCCAGCATTCCGGGGGTACACGTAGCTCCAGACTGAACCCGTGGCCTTTGGGGCTATGACAACACCGCAGTTCAATCTTTGGGGCTGGTCCATACTGGCTGAGTCAGGCTCACAAGGCTGCTTAATTGTGGTTCAGGCTTGAGCTAAAACTGAGGCTGCAGAACCCTGCAAAGTGGGAGGGTCCCAGACCCCAACCCAAACCCCAACCTCTACATTGCAATTAAACAGCCCCGAAGACCACGGCGTGGGTGTCTAATTGCTGTGTAGCTGTACCGAGACTGCTTATACACACTTCCCGTGGCTTAGTTAAACTGCTGTAAACCTGTGTAGACACCCTTATTTCTAGTGTAAAACTGTTTCTAATTGACTTAATCTAAACTGAAGTAAGAACACCCAGAGGTACATTGGTTTAAAACCAAATTTTACGTTAAATTGCAGCACGTGAACAAGCCATTATACTTAGGGGCTACGTCTAGACTGGCAAGTCTTTCCGCAAAAGCAGCTGCCAGTCTAGATGCTCTTTTCCGCAAATGCTTTTAATGGAAAAACTTTTCCGTTAAAAGCATTTGCAGAAAATCATGCCAGTCTAGACGTAGCCAGGGTGTGTCTACATGACATCCACAACAATGGCACAGCTACAGTGTAACAGCCATGTCGCTGTAGTGTATTGGCTTCCTTACATGGCCAGAAGAGGTTTTCCATTTAGCTAGTCTAGTCCATCCATCTCTCGGAGAGGTGAGAGTTGGGTTGATGAAAGAATTATTCCATCTATCTGCCTTCCTCTACGCTGTGGATTCCATTGGCTCAGGGTGAAAATATTTTCACAGCTCTGAACCATGTAGCTAGGTTGCTCTAGCTTTAAGTGAAGATCAGGCCTTAAGGGTTAGTGGGTTCAATTCTCATCTGCTCTGTTCTGGCAATGGAAATGGAAATGATTTCAGAGTACAAGACATTAAAATAATTGAGAACAATGTCCCTTGGGGACAAGAGTCAGGCCTTAATTTAGCTTTGTAGATCTAATTTTTAAGTTCTGTTGTTCAGGGCTGTGAAAAATTGCATGTACCTATGCAGGCTTATCCACTGGTGTTGCCATGGGCAGGTTGACAGAAAAACCCTTCCATTGACTTGGCTACTATTGCCCAAAGGAAGCTGAATTCCAACATAAAATATCCTCTGAGATGTCTCCTTTCTTCCTTGGCTTCTAGATTTTGAAGAAATCCTGCATTGAGATTCTTGCCGCAGAGCCTTCCAGTATATGTGCAGGAGGTAAGTTTAAAACAGTATATCCCAGTCCTCCCTGTTTACCTGTGCAATTGCCTCTGCCCACCTGTTCCTGAGGAGCCCAGAACAACTGAATTCACTGGATTTCATTTCTAGACTATTTTACTACTTTTGTGAACTTTCACAAGATTTACTTTCTTTCAAAATGAAGGAAATTAAAATAGAGAACCATAGAATCATAGAATCATAGAACCATAGAGCTGGAAGAGACCTCAGAAGGTCATCAGGTCCAGCCCTCTACTCTAGGCAGGACCAATCCCAACTAAATCAACCAATTATGTTTATTTCTGAAAATTAATCTTTGCTTGATCCAAACGATGACCTTAGCTCAAAACAACTCATTTTTCACCAAACAGTGCTAACCTTTAAGCAAAATACTGTGGAATTGTAAAGCCACGTTGCAAAATCAGATCCTCTTTGTGAAGAGACAGATCTGGAAGTTTTCAGATTTCTTTGTGAATATTTTTTACAATCTGCATTATTATAAACACTATGTCTGTGTCTACACTGGCATCCCTTCCGGAAAAGGGATGCTAATGTAGCACTTCGGAATAGGCAAATCCACGGGGGATTTAAATATCCCCCGCGGTATTTGCATTAACATGGCTGCCACTTTTTTCCGGGTTGGAGATAAGCCGGAGAAAAGCGCCAGTGTAGACGTGATTCTCCGGAAAATAAAGCCTTTTCCGGAGGATCTCTTATTCCTACTTAAAGCGGCAGCCATGTTAATGCAAATAGGAGGAGTAATTTTTTGAGGAGTAACATTAGTTCGGTCTAAGGGCTTTAGTCCGAACTAACGCGTCCCGGCGCGCACTTCCTGGTTCGAATCAACTGTGATTTGAACTAGCGCGCCGGCGAGATCATGTTAATGGAGCGCGGGATATTTAAATCCCCGCTTCATTAACTACTTCGGTTGTCTCCATTTGCATCCCTAGTTCGAACTAGGGATGCAGTGTAGACGTACCCTTAGTTATTTATATTCATGGTTTATAATAATCTGTAACATCTTTTACATGCTTAGCACAATCTACAGCACTCTATAAATCATGTCGCTGACATCCTTGTAACATTTATTAACCATAGGCAAGCCATTTACAAATGGAGCAGGCTAATGTGACTGGATACTGTATCCAACTGAAACAGCAGAGGGAAAATATCGGAAAAGATTATGTAATCACCCAAGTTAGAACTTGGCCAGGATGCCACAAGGGGAGAGATGATAACTCAGAAAGTTCCCAAGGGACTTTTTACTGACCACAGTTACTCACCCCAGGCCACTGTGTTGTGCCTTATTGGGAAGGAGCATGGTGCCTCTTCACACATGCTAGGTATGGAGTCTGTCACAACACGATGTGCCAGCAGCGCTGCAGCGAGTCCTTACTTCTTGGTGACTGAAATGGAGCTCAAAGCCGAACATCTGTGTTCAGTCAAAACCTCCATTGAGTTCAAAGTGCAGGGGAGCCCACAGCTAGCAAATATGCAGAGAGCTACATAAATCACTAGAAAAACGGAGAGTCTGAGAGTTCTGAAGACAGGTTATGGCCGCAGTAGCTCTGGTTGCCTGTGTGGAAAAGGGCTGGAGCCCCACGTGCGGTTCTCTAGGGAATGCCTGTATTTCGCTTTCAGGTCTGGGGCACGCAAGGTGGGGGCCAGAAAGGGTCTGGACTAGACGAGGCTGCGGTCCCCACATTCTGTGTGTGCCTGGATGGCTTCAGTGTGGGATGGTGTGGCTACTTCCCTGTCCTCTACCTTGTACCTGTGGGGATCATGGTTTAGGGCATGCCAACACTGCCAGCAGGAGACACACTGAGGACTCAGCAAAGCGAGCAGAGATGCTGGGGCACTATGGATGTCTGCAAGGACTACGCCCCACTGCCTGGGAACATACTCAGGAGTCTCTTCCTCCTGCCTTGACTTCACTGCTGTTGTCACTCAAGATACTTTTGATCTGGTTATCAGAGCTAAGTCAGGTGTGTCTACATGTGCTGTAGACCCCTCTCGGACTGCAGTGCAGACATTACGCTTCAGCTGCACACTGGCTGCAAACACTCAGCACTGAAGTTGCTTTCAAGAGCGCTGTTTTATCCAGTGTCTGTTTCCAACAGCTATGTGTAACCAGAGCTTCACAGACGTTCAGTCTGGGACGCCTAGCCCTTAAAGATACAGTCCGTAGTACCTCCCTCTCCCCTAGCCTGGGCCAGTTATCAGAAGTGACTCCTCATTCTGAAAAGATAGCTTCCGTAGTTATTGCTTCTGCATAAATATAGAAATGTGATCATCATCACAACCTGTTAATTATCATTCCAGACTGGTTAGGTTATCACAAAGGTTTCTGTGCTTTACTGTACTTGGAATCCCATTCCATACAATTTTCATAATTGCTCCTAAAGATTTTACATTTCCCCTCCTCCCCCCCGCCCTGAGCTCAGCACTTCTCCCCCTGTTCTCGAATGAGCTTAGACATCACACAATGGGATTAAAAGGCAGGCTGCTTGGATAGATATCCTCGGTTTGTCTGCAGCTGACCCCTTCCTGGCTATTAGAAAATGAGAGCTGGAACACAGCCCAGATTCCAGCGCGAATACGCTATTTGGACAGCTACAGCGCGGGAGTCCCTCGGGGTAATTAGATAAGGTGGCTGCTGGAATGGACAAGGAAAAACTTTGAATGGTCAGACATTTGGATCAGTTTTGCTGCTAAGAAGTTTAGCATGGCAGAGAAGAGCCTCCATACAGAGCTCTTCATACACTGACTATTCCTGCCTCTCCTCAAACTGCAAAGGTTTTGTCTAGGAGAGTGTTTTCTCTAGGACAGGGGACGCCAATCTTTTTAACCACAAGATCACTTTTTAAGTGCAATGTAAGATCTACCTCAAGCCCAAACACCCTTGCCTGGCTTCCTTCCCCCTTCTCTGGGGCCCTGCCCCTGCTCAACTCCTTCTCCGAGGCCTCACCCTGCTCACTCTGTTGCCCTTCCTCCCCGAATCTCATTCACTTTCACCAGGCTAGGGTAGGGGTACAGGCTCTAATATTGGGTGTATGGCAAATGCTCTATCCCCTAGGCCAGTGTTTCTCAACCTTTTTTTTTTAATAATAAAAAACCCCTTTAAAAAAATTATAAGTAAAAGTTATAATCAATAGTTAGTCCAGACCTGACCAGTTAGGCATTGTAGTACTCAAAGAATTAAAGTTAAGCATGAAAGAGATATGAAAGTTACGAAATGCACAGTCCAGTCAAACACTAAACAGAACCCACTTTGCCAGCAGTAAAAGTAGCAACAACCCCCCACGTGTGTGTTGGGTCAGGAGATGAGAGGGAAGGACAGTGTGGCTATGTCTACACTGGCAGGTTCTTGTGCCAGAAATATGCAAATGAAGCTAAGCGTGGAATATCGCCGAGCCTCATTTGCATACCTAATGAGATTATTTTCAGGAATAACAGCATTGCGCAAGAGGGCCGTGTAGACAGCTCCTTCTGGCAAAAGAGCCTCTTCTGCAAAAATGGTGGCTCATTAGCTATGCAAGTGAGGCTCAGCGATATTCCACGCTTAGCCTCATTTGCATATTTCTGGCGCAAGAACCCGCCGGCGTAGACATAGCCTGTGTGTTTGTGAGAGTGACAGAGCCACACATACTGTGTGAGAGTGACAGAGATTTGCCTTGCCAAGCTCCCTCCATCCCCATCTCTGTGTGGATACAGGGTACAGGAGTGGGGGGAGGAGGGACACCCTGACATCAGCCCCCCCTCCTTCCTCCCACACCCTGCACAGCAAGCAGGAGGCTTCCAAGAGGCAGCTCCAAGGCACAGGGCAGGCGCAGCATGACAGTGGGGGGAAGGGCAATTGAAGAGCCAGCACTTGAGAGCTTCCTGGCCAAACCAGTCAGGATCCCCTGTCAGAGGCTCCAAGATCTACCGGTAGATCCTGATTTACTGGTTGGTGACCCCTGGTCTAGGACCTTGCAGTGGCTCCGCTGTATTATGCACTATGCAGTTGTGTCACTGTAAGGTCTGTGTAGCAGCTCTGTGCCGACCGGTGAGAGCTGTCCCTCCCAGCATCATTAATCCCCCAACAGGCAGCAGGAGCTCTATAGAGGGGAGAGCGCCTTGTCACACCCCGACTGACAAAAGTTTCGCTAGCAAAAGTGCTACTGCAGACAAAGCCACATGCATGGTGAGACTAATTTTCAAGTGTCAATGGGAGTTGAGTGCTGCAGATGTCAGCTCAGCTGCAAAACTCCTCGGCTACGTCTACACTGGCCCCTTTTCCGGAAGGGGCATGTAAATTTCACCAGTCGTCGTAGGGAAATCCGCGGGGGATTTAAATATCCCCCGCGGCATTTAAATAAAAATGTCCGCCGCTTTTTTCCGGCTTTTAAAAAAGCCGGAAAAGAGCGTCTACACTGGCCCCGATCCTCCGGAAAAAGCGCCCTTTTCCGGAGGGTCTTATTCCAACTTCAAAGTAGGAACTGATGTAGTTAGGTCCTCCCACAGTCAGTGTAGATGCTGCATTGCTGGCAGGAGCCCCACACAGTGCCCCACACTGCCAGTACAATCGATGCAAGAGCTTCTGGTGAGCACTGCTGACGTGAGGAGCGAAGTGTAGACACACACAAGCGATGTAACTACTGCAGCGGCTGTATGCCGATGTAAGTTAGGTTGATTTCATTTTGTAGTGTAGACATGGCCTGAGACTGTTTATTAGAAATTTCTTTCAGGAGGAAAAGGTCTGTTGTCAGAGCAGCTCTACCTGCCCGTTATTATTGACACAAAGCAAATAACCCATTTCCTCTTT